GCGTGGCGCTCCTGGCTGCCTGCCTCGGCCGCCTCGGAGGCCCGACGGCGCGGATCAGGAGCCTGTTGCTCGCGGCCTGTCGTTTGGAGCTCTGGCCCAGGGCTTTTTTTTGTACGAGAGTGGGGCCGCGGCCTCGGGAGCGCGGCTGTAAACGTTCACGCGCAAACCTTCTTAGACGGCACTTAGCATTCTACTACGCCTCAATGTTCCAGGGGGCACAGATGCGGAGCAGTGTAGCGTGGCTGCACGACAGCGGCTAGGCGTGAGTACCGCGTGTTCCTGTCTCCTCGTCCTCCTTCTCCGCCTCCTCCCCTCAATGAACAGCAACATCATCATCATCATCATCATCATCATCATCATCATCATCATCATCATCATCATCATCATCATCATCAGCATCATCATCGTCATCATCAACATCATCATCATCATCAGCAGCATCATCGTCACCATCATCGTCATCATCATAATCATCAGCATCATCATCAGCATCACCATCATAATCATCATCATCATCATCAGCAGCAGCATCAGCATCATCCTCATCCTCATCCTCATCATCCTCATCCTCATCCTCATCATCCCCATCTTCATCCTCATTCTCATCCACATCATCCTTATCCTAATCCTCATCCTCAGCAGCAGACTCAGCACCATCAACATCATCAGCATCATCATCAGCATCATCATCACCACCGTCGTCGTCGCCGACGTCGTCCTTCCACTCTTTCCTCAACTTCATGCCTCCTCGCCGTTATGCTCCTCTTTCCCTTCCTTACTATCCTTCACCTCACGTTCATCTTTCCTTCTCCCCCCTCTCCTCCCCTCCTCTTCCTGCTCCTCCTCCTCCTCTTCCTCCTCCTCCTCCTCCTCCTCATCATCATCATCATCGTCATGCTCCTCCTCTTTTCCTACCTATCCCTCTCCCTGTCCCTCCTCCTCCCCTCCTCCTCCTCCTCCTCCTCCTCCTCCTCCTCCTCCTCCTCCCCTCGCTCCTCACCTGCCCCTCCCTCCTCCACCTCCCTCTTCCTCCCCTCCCGCCTCCATCCTTCTCTCCCTCATCTCCCTCCTCCCCTCCTCATCCTCCCCCTTCCCCTCCCGCGCGGCCTCTGCACGAAGCGCGCGCGCGCCCGGCCATGGAGCCGCCTCTCGCGCGCGGGAGCGCACGGGGCGCGGGGCCGCCGGCCGTGCCTCCGCGCCTGGTGCTGCCCCTGCAGGTCCGCGGCCTCGTCGTGGCGCCCACATCGCGGAGCGGATTTCGCTCGGAAAGCAATGGTCGGCATCGTGTTACCGATCTCCATCCCCCGTCCCCATCCCCTCCGAGGCCCCCACCAAATTACCACCCCAGTTGGGGGTATAACCCTCGAAGCCCGAAGCGAACGGCCTGTATTCCCATCTAGGGGGGTAGATCGGCCAGTGGGGCCCGGGCCACGCCGCTGGGGATAGGGATCGGTTAAACGGTGCCCGAATTGGATGGACCCAGGTTGTCCTGGAGAATTTCGTTCAGGAGTTCGAAGGGAATTTCGTGCGGATTTTTTTGGTCAGGAAGAAGACTACAACAAATCCACGTGACATTTGGTTCGTTTTTCGCTCGCCGTTGCGGGGTCTTGCTCTCGACGTAAGCATAGCGTGTTGAACTCTTTCCTGGGACCAACAGCAAATAATGACGTAGGATTGTATTGTATTGTATTTGACAAAGTTCTGTTAATGCCTTCAGCAATGCTGCATTGAGCGCCGCTGATGGCCCAAATCCTATAGTAGGGTTAATATCTGAACGAATGGTGATACACATAAAACAGGGCTTTGCAATCTTATTTCGAGTACACATAGTATGAATGACATGACGTATCAGTCTTGCATGTTCGGGATGCGTTCGGCGTGTCTGCACCCAGTTTCGGGCCGTGGGGCCCTCGCGGATCGATGCGGTTCGAAAAAAATGAGGCAGATAGATGGGGTGCGGGGCTCCGGCCGTGATTTGCCACCATGCTACCCTGCTTGGTGCTACGTCGGATCTCAGGCTCGGAGCGCGTGCCTTCCTGGCCAAGCCAGGATGGCACCGTGATGCACCGGTCTCATCGCGCCAACATCGCAGAGCGGATCTAGTTCGGAAAGCGATGAGGTGGGCCCAGAGTGTCCTGGAGAAGTTCGTTCCGGATTTCGCAGTGAGTCTCGTGCGCATTTGTGTTGGCCTGGAAGGAAGACCAACAAACATCCACGCGAAATTCACTTCGTGATTCGCTCGCTGCTTCGGGAAAAAATCCGCGCAGACATCCATGCGAAAATCCGCTGCAGCACGTCTGCAAGGCCGGTGCAATGACCAGTCGTGGGCCCAGCGGGGGGTCTGACCGGGACCGACGTGCGTATACAGTTGGCGCGCTCTTGGGCAAAGGCCTCGGCCACCTGAGCGACGGAAAAAAGCAGGGTCGTCTGCGCCGACATTGACGCGTAAGTTGCCCACGTAAGGTCGCGCGCGAGCGCCCTCGTCTTCAATGGGGCGTGCCGCGCTGGCGGCCCGCGTAGGCCGCGGCGCAAGGTCGCTGCAGTCGAGCTTGATTAGCAGGTCCACCGTGCCAAATCGAAGGTGCCCTTGTGTCCTGTCTATCCTGGCCAGTGCAGCCCGCATGTCTTTTGGTGTTCTGGAGCCACGTTGCCGTTGTCCGTTCGCGTGTCCTCTCCAATCAAGCCCAACTGCACGTCATATCGCGCAAGGCCCATTTCTTTTCGTCGCCCATCTGGTTTCGGGCGGCCTTCGCGAGGGGCTCTGGGGGGGGGAATGAGGGGGGTGGGTGGGGGGGGGGGGGGCGAATCGAAGAACGGAAAGACAAACCATGTTTTTGTTCGGAGGACCGCGCGCGGATCCCATGGGTCGGTCGGCATTCGCGAGGGGCTCTGGGGGAGGGGAGGGGGGGGGAGGGGGGGGGGCGAATCGAAGAACGGAAAGACAAACCATGTTTTTTGTCGGAGGACCGCGCGCGGATCCCATGGAGTCGGCGCTCCGGTCTCCTCCCCCCATTCCCCCCGCCCTGCCGGCGGGAGCGTGCGCCGCCCCCCCGGGCGCCGGGTGCAGCGCCGACCCGAGAAATCGCCGCCGAAATGTTGTTCAGGAGGGGAAGAAACACACAGACACAATTAATCGTCGATCCCCAGGAAAATATGGGGAAATATGGGAAGTGGGGGGGAAGACAAAAACCCAGAAAATATGGGGAAATATAGGGAATCTTTTTATTTTATAGGGGATATTTTTATTTGTGTGTATTTATTTGTGTGTCCCAGGGCCCCTTCAGTTGTGCGTGTGTGTGTGTGTGCGTGTGTGTGTGTGTGTGCGTGTGTGTGTGTGTGATTGTGTGTGTGTGTGCGTGTGTATGTGTGTGTGTGCGTGTGTGTGTGTGTGTGCGTGTGTGTGTGTGCGTGTGTGTGTGCGTGTGTGTGTGTGTGTGCGTGTGTGTGTGTGTGCGTGTGTGTGTGTGTGCGTGTGTGTGTGTGTGTGTGTGTGTGTGTCTTTCCTCGGGCTTTGGTCTCCGGCTTCGGACGGCTGTCGCGACGCGTTTTCGGGGGTCTCGGCATTGCCTGTCTCGTCGCTTCCTCTCAGAGCGGCCTATACCGCCTTCGGGACAGCCCCGGAGGGCTTCGGGCGGTGTCCCAATCGTATCGGTTTCTGGGGTGGCTTCTCGTTTCGATTGCGTCCAGGGACTTCCAAAGGTCTTTGTAGGTCGGCTTTCGATGGCGATTCGATCCTCACGGTTTCATCTTGCATTGTGAGCTTCCTTTTGGTGGATCCGTTGCCTGAGGGCAGTCGGCTTGGGAATGTTTGTGAACTTGCTTAGGACCATTTGGGGCTTCCTTGGGCAATCTTGGTTTCATTTGGGGACATCATGTGGTCTTCGTGGGATCGTGGCATATTAGGGCCTCTTGGGGGCTCCTGTGCGACAAGAATGGGCAACATCGTGGGCATCTTCCCACATTTGGGATCATGTTGGACAATCTGGGAGCATACGAGGGGGAGTCTCGCGGTCACATCTGGGGTCTGATATGGAGCAAGGCAGGCGATAGTCTAACAGCAGTATCCATACGCCAGACTTGAAGGCTCGCTTCGCGTCGCTTCAGTGTTGGCGAGATCATCGGAGGTTTGACGACATGGTCATTGGAGTTGGCGAGGAGGCTTAGGTTCGGATGCAAGTAGCACGACAAAGCCAGTCAATGAGGGCGCACCCAGGGGAGACTGGCGCGACCCAGTCCGAACGGAGCCATAGCGCGTCCGCACGTGGAACAGGTCGGGACCAGAAAGGACCGAGAACCTCCGGCCCATCCTTCGTAGTTGGAGACCTTAACGCGGACTGGTTGTGAAGCGTCGGACCGTGTGACAGCATGAACCTCCACACGGCGTGAACACGAGGCGCGACGCCAGTGTTCGAGCGAGGATTGCAGCACGGCCGATGCACCCGCAATCCCAGTCCCACCCTGGCGTGGGCGTCGTGATGCGAAGCGAACGCGGCTCCAAGTTCTCATGCGCACGCGCAGCGGACAGCGGGCAGGCGGGGGCATCGGCAAGGCGCGGGGTTGTGACTACGTGTAGACTCCCGCAGGCATGCTTGGAGCACGGGGACCCCCCCCCTGGATTGGGGCCGATGTAGCAGCGCCAGGGCATGGAGTGGGAGAGCCCACTCCTGAGGAGAGAAGAGGGGGAGCACCAGCAGGAGCGGGAAGGTGAAGAGCTGGAGGGGCAAGAGGGAGGAGCAGGAGGGGCAGGGAGCAGAGGCAGGAGCGAGAGAGAGAGAGAGAGAGAGCAGCAGGGGCAGGAGCAGGAGCAGCAGCAGCAGCAGCAGCAGCAGCAGCAGCAGCAGCAGCAGCAGCAGCAGCAGCAGCGGCGGGGCCTGGTTGGCCAGGGACCTGGGGGCTACATAGACCCCAGGCGTGGGCCCCCCCTGGGATGAGGACCAGGCCGGCCGCGCTCGCGGAGCTCGGAGGGGCGAGGCGGAGCGCCCCCCCCTCCGCCCGCAAAGGTGCACCTCGGCGACCCGCGGTGCGGGGAGCCGCCCCTCGGCCCGCCGCTGCGGCCCCGCCTGCTCGACCGCGGCGCCGCCGCGGGCGACGCCAGGATCCATAGGGGCGACCACAGGCAGCGGGGGAGAGGCTCAGGGGGGGCGCTGCAGCATCGGCCCCGAGTCGCCCACGGATCGCCGCTCGGGGCCCTCCTGGCCCCTTTCTCGCCCTGGAGCGCGCGGCCTCGCTGGTTCGATCGGGGGGCCCGTCGCCCATATATACCTATCGGCCACGTGTATACATCGCCCAGCTGTCCAGGCCCCTGTGCTTCCCCGCCCCCCCCCCTCTGTGCCAGCTGTTGCCCCCCGATCGTCCTGCCCCCCCGCAGGATGCCCTGGCCCGCGGAGCACGCGGCCGGGCCCGAGCCGGCCGCCGCGTCCAGCGCCCCTCCGACGCCGCCGCAGACGCCAAAGGAGTGCCCGCGCCCGGCGCCGCCGCCGGAGCAGCACGCCGGGGCGGTGGCCGCGCTCGCCCGCCACTGCAGGGCGCCGCGGGCCCCGGGCGGCGCCCGCGGCGTGGGCGGCGTGCCCGGCGGCTCGGCGGCGGGCTGGGCCGGCCCGGAGGCCCCGATGCTGGAGGCCGAGGTTCGCGGGGGGGCCCCCTGTGACGGTGCGGTGGCACACCGCGTGGCGAGCCAGTCGGGGCTCGGGGTCCCCGCGCGTCTCGGGGGTGCTCTCCGAGAGGCGTTCTCCGATGTGTGTAGGACGTCTCGAGCGACTCGGGGGCCTCCGAGGTCGCCACGCGGTGCGTCACCACACGGTTCGGGGACCCCGACGAGGTGCCGTCGCTGCGGCCTGGGCCCAGCGAGGTGCCGCGGCCACAGCCCCAGGCCCCCTTTGTAATAGGGTCGTGCAACAGTCGAGGCGGAAGGGGTTTCCCTTGTGTTCGGCCTCCGGAGGCCCTCGCCGGGCCTCGGGACCGTCAAGAAACGGCTCGGGATGAGGAACTGGTCCCGGGGAATGGGTCGAGACCGTCTCGGCCTGTCTGGACGCTCCGCGCCTGGTGGCCGAGGTTCTTGGCCTCTCTGACGGGGTCGGAGTAGATGGCATCGGAGGATCGCGCCGCTTCGCCGAGGCATCGGCGATGCGGCTCGATGTGGAGCCCGAGTTTCTCCACGCAGGCGTCGCCGAGAGTTGTTGTAGTTCATTGCGCGTACAGTCGACATATAGGAGGACTGTGTGTACTTATATGTGGGCTCATGCTGGACAATATGGGAGCATATGAGGGGGAGTCTCGTGGTCACATCTGGGCGTTGCTGTGGAGCAAGGCGGGCGATAGTCTAACAGCAGTATCCATACACCAGACTTGAATGCTCGCTTCGCGTCGCTTCAGTGTTGGCGAGATCATCGGAGGTTTGACGACATGGTCATTGGAGTTGGCGAGGAGGCTTAGGTTCGGATGCAAGTAGCACGACAAAGCCAGTCAATGAGGGCGCACCCAGGGGAGATGGGCGCGACCCAGTCCGAAGTGCGGGATGAACGGAGCCATGGCGCAGCCGCACGTGGAACAGGTCGGCGCGGACTGGTTGTGAAGCGTCGGACCGTGTGACAGCATGAACCTCCACGCGGCGTGAACACGACGCGCGACGCCAGTGTTCGAGCGAGGATTGCAGTACGGCCGATGCACCCGCAATCCCAGTCCCACCCTGGCGTGGGCGTCGTGATGCGAAGCGAACGCGGCTCCAAGTTCTCATGCGCACGCGCAGCGGACAGCGGGCAGGCGGGGGCATCGGCAAGGCGCGGGGTTGTGACTACGTGTAGACTCCCGCAGGCATGCTTGGAGCACGGGGACCCCCCCCCTGGATTGGGGCCGATGTAGCAGCGCCAGGGCATGGAGTGGGAGAGCCCACTCCTGAGGAGAGAAGAGGGGGAGCACCAGCAGGAGCGGGAAGGTGAAGAGCTGGAGGGGCAAGAGGGAGGAGCAGGAGGGGCAGGGAGCAGAGGCAGGAGCGAGAGAGAGAGAGAGAGAAAGCAGCAGGGGCAGGAGCAGGAGCAGCAGCAGCAGCAGCAGCAGCAGCAGCAGCAGCAGCAGCAGCAGCAGCAGCGGCGGGGCCTGGTTGGCCAGGGACCTGGGGGCTACATAGACCCCAGGCGTGGGCCCCCCCTGGGATGAGGACCAGGCCGGCCGCGCTCGCGGAGCTCGGAGGGGCGAGGCGGAGCGCCCCCCCCTCCGCCCGCAAAGGTGCACCTCGGCGACCCGCGGTGCGGGGAGCCGCCCCTCGGCCCGCCGCTGCGGCCCCGCCTGCTCGACCGCGGCGCCGCCGCGGGCGACGCCAGGATCCATAGGGGCGACCACAGGCAGCGGGGGAGAGGCTCAGGGGGGGCGCTGCAGCATCGGCCCCGCGTCGCCCACGGATCGCCGCTCGGGGCCCTCCTGGCCCCTTCCTCGCCCTGGAGCGCGCGGCCTCGCTGGTTCGATCGGGGGGCCCGTCGCCCATATATACCTATCGGCCACGTGTATACATCGCCCAGCTGTCCAGGCCCCTGTGCTTCCCCGCCCCCCCCCCTCTGTGCCAGCTGTTGCCCCCCGATCGTCCTGCCCCCCCGCAGGATGCCCTGGCCCGCGGAGCACGCGGCCGGGCCCGAGCCGGCCGCCGCGTCCAGCGCCCCTCCGACGCCGCCGCAGACGCCAAAGGAGTGCCCGCGCCCGGCGCCGCCGCCGGAGCAGCACGCCGGGGCGGTGGCCGCGCTCGCCCGCCACTGCAGGGCGCCGCGGGCCCCGGGCGGCGCCCGCGGCGTGGGCGGCGTGCCCGGCGGCTCGGCGGCGGGCTGGGCCGGCCCGGAGGCCCCGATGCTGGAGGCCGAGGTTCGCGGGGGGGCCCCCTGTGACGGTGCGGTGGCACACCGCGTGGCGAGCCAGTCGGGGCTCGGGGTCCCCGCGCGTCTCGGGGGTGCTCTCCGAGAGGCGTTCTCCGATGTGTGTAGGACGTCTCGAGCGACTCGGGGGCCTCCGAGGTCGCCACGCGGTGCGTCACCACACGGTTCGGGGACCCCGACGAGGTGCCGTCGCTGCGGCCTGGGCCCAGCGAGGTGCCGCGGCCACAGCCCCAGGCCCCCTTTGTAATAGGGTCGTGCAACAGTCGAGGCGGAAGGGGTTTCCCTTGTGTTCGGCCTCCGGAGGCCCTCGCCGGGCCTCGGGACCGTCAAGAAACGGCTCGGGATGAGGAACTGGTCCCGGGGAATGGGTCGAGACCGTCTCGGCCTGTCTGGACGCTCCGCGCCTGGTGGCCGAGGTTCTTGGCCTCTCTGATGGGGTCGGAGTAGATGGCATCGGAGGATCGCGCCGCTTCGCCGAGGCATCGGCGATGCGGCTCGATGTGGAGCCCGAGTTTCTCCACGCAGGCGTCGCCGAGAGTTGTTGTAGTTCATTGCGCGTACAGTCGACATATACTTACGCAGGACGAAAGATTTTCCTCTTGAGGTGAAAATGGCCATGAGGAGTTCGCGAGACAACGTCGGCGCCGCCGAACGGACGGCGACCGGACGAGCTGTTTGCAGCAACGGGTGGGGGATGTATGTATGTATTCATGTTGAATGGGGCCCGCTCGCGCGGGGAGTTGATGGGAGTGCGCGAGACGACGCAGGGCCCATCGTGGAAAATTGATAACCGAACCCCCCTCCCCCATAGAATCTTAACACGGGCGGTTTGCGGGGTCCGCGGATCCGATTTCTTCCGGCTCCCTGGTTTAATTTAATCATATAAATTTAAAACAGGGTGGAAATCGGATCCGCCGTAAAAAAATAAGACCGGACACGGATCCAGCTAATCCGACATCGGATCCATACGGACGGAAATCGGATCCACCGAAACAAACACCAAAACCACATTTGGATCCGCGCGAGCTTCATGAGATCCGACGGCGGTTATCTCATACGGGTCTGCTTAAGACTTCACACCGTCGTTCCGGGCCCAAGAGGAAAATACTTCCGTCCTGGGGATGAGCGTTTTGCCCTTCGGACTCGTTGGTTACCACGCTGCCGACGCACCACATCTCACACGCAATCCGTTGTTGGTTACCACACAGCCGACACCACATCCCACAGGCAATCCGTTGGGTGAGGAGACGCAGGGCCGAAACGCACTGAGCGTTTTGGCCTTCGGACTCGTTGGTTACCACGTTGCCGACACACCACATCTCACACGCAATCCGTTGTTGGTTACCACGCAACCGACACCACATCTCACAGGCAATCCGTTGGGTGAGGAGACGCAGGGCCGAAACGCATTTACGCAGGACGAAAGATTTTCCTCTTGAGGTGAAAATGGCCATGAGGAGTTCGCGAGACAACGTCGGCGCCGCCGAACGGACGGCGACCGGACGAGCTGTTTGCAGCAACGGGTGGGGGATGTATGTATGTATTCATGTTGAATGGGGCCCGCTCGCGCGGGGAGTTGATGGGAGTGCGCGAGACGACGCAGGGCCCATCGTGGAAAATTGATAACCGAACCCCCCTCCCCCATAGAATCTTAACACGGGCGGTTTGCGGGGTCCGCGGATCCGATTTCTTCCGGCTCCCTGGTTTAATTTAATCATATAAATTTAAAACAGGGTAGAAATCGGATCCGCCGTAAAAAATAAGACCGGACACGGATCCAGCTAATCCGAAATCGGATCCATACGGACGGAAATCGGATCCACCGAAACAAACACCCAAACCACATTTGGATCCGCGCGAGCTTCATGAGATCCGACCGCGGCTATCTCATACGGGTCTGCTTAAGACTTCACACCGTCGTTCCGGGCCCAAGAGGGAAATACTTTCGTCCTGGGGTTGTAGGAGGACTGTGTGTACTTATATGTGGGCTCATGCTGGACAATATGGGAGCATATGAGGGGGAGTCTCGTGGTCACATCTGGGCGTTGCTGTGGAGCAAGGCGGGCGATAGTCTAACAGCAGTATCCATACACCAGACTTGAATGCTCGCTTCGCGTCGCTTCAGTGTTGGCGAGATCATCGGAGGTTTGACGACATGGTCATTGGAGTTGGCGAAGAGGCTCAGGTTCGGATGCAAGTAGCACGACAAAGCCAGTCAATGAGGGCGCACCCAGGGGAGATGGGCGCGACCCAGTCCGAAGTGCGGGATGAACGGAACCATGGCGCAGCCGCACGTGGAACAGGTCGGCGCGGACTGGTTGTGAAGCGTCGGACCGTGTGACAGCATGAACCTCCACACGGCGTGAACACGAGGCGCGACGCCAGTGTTCGAGCGAGGATTGCAGCACGGCCGATGCACCCGCAATCCCAGTCCCACCCTGGCGTGGGCGTCGTGATGCGAAGCGAACGCGGCTCCAAGTTCTCATGCGCACGCGCAGCGGACAGCGGGCAGGCGGGGGCATCGGCAAGGCGCGGGGTTGTGACTACGTGTAGACTCCCGCAGGCATGCTTGGAGCACGGGGACCCCCCCCCTGGATTGGGGCCGATGTAGCAGCGCCAGGGCATGGAGTGGGAGAGCCCACTCCTGAGGAGAGAAGAGGGGGAGCACCAGCAGGAGCGGGAAGGTGAAGAGCTGGAGGGGCAAGAGGGAGGAGCAGGAGGGGCAGGGAGCAGAGGCAGGAGCGAGAGAGAGAGAGAGAGCAGCAGGGGCAGGAGCAGGAGCAGCAGCAGCAGCAGCAGCAGCAGCAGCAGCAGCAGCAGCAGCAGCGGCGGGGCCTGGTTGGCCAGGGACCTGGGGGCTACATAGACCCCAGGCGTGGGCCCCCCCTGGGATGAGGACCAGGCCGGCCGCGCTCGCGGAGCTCGGAGGGGCGAGGCGGAGCGCCCCCCCCTCCGCCCGCAAAGGTGCACCTCGGCGACCCGCGGTGCGGGGAGCCGCCCCTCGGCCCGCCGCTGCGGCCCCGCCTGCTCGACCGCGGCGCCGCCGCGGGCGACGCCAGGATCCATAGGGGCGACCACAGGCAGCGGGGGAGAGGCTCAGGGGGGGCGCTGCAGCATCGGCCCCGAGTCGCCCACGGATCGCCGCTCGGGGCCCTCCTGGCCCCTTTCTCGCCCTGGAGCGCGCGGCCTCGCTGGTTCGATCGGGGGGCCCGTCGCCCATATATACCTATCGGCCACGTGTATACATCGCCCAGCTGTCCAGGCCCCTGTGCTTCCCCGCCCCCCCCC